AAAAAGTGTAATCAGGAGGACAGCAAATAGTGATTGACATTGCATTTAAATTTTTGCAGATTAAAATTGGCTGTAAAGCATGAAGCAGAAAGGGAGTTCCACAAGAGAGAAGTGTGAGAAAAGAAACAGGAAGCATAGAACTTAGAGTTATATCTAGTGAACTCAACTGTAATTTGGTGAGATCTTGTCACTAGTCTAATATAGCGCTTCAATTAATTTTGGTTTCGTAGGTTTCAATATATGTTTAAATGAATCCAGTTGAGCAAGTGAAATCCATGTGCAACATACAAGAATAAAAAAGAAAGTGCTACCACTGACTAACATTAACTATGAACATGGTCACAGTCTGCTGACCATGTTTGGAAAAATCATCTTTGAAAATGGCTGAAAGAATAGGTGAAAATACTCGGGTTTGCAGAAGATTTAGAAAATCTTTACACATTTTATGTCCAGAAAAGAAAACACTTGTCTGATCAGAATAAAAAATAAACATCTTAATCATAGTACCTTGTATAAAAGAAGAATCGCTGCCCAAATACACACACACACACATATATATATATGCACATACATACATAGATACATACACACACACACACACATATATATATATATATATGCATATACATAACACACACATACACACACATATATATATATATATATTGTCATCTACAGACAGACTGTTTCACTGTATCACAGCTCATCAGTTTGGCCAAACAGCTGATAGCTTCAAGCCAGGATCAAAACACTGAAACCCAGGGTCACAAACTTACATCAATCCAACTAAATATGCTAGCTCTAGCTCTGATATTGAGCCGAACAAGCATAGAAATAAATACAATATGGGAACCAGTAATAAGGAGTGCCAGAGAAAAGCGATGATAACAGCAAAAATTGCAATATGAGCACTGGTAAAAAAATAAAGGAAAAAAGTGGTTGTTGAAGACATTAGGTTTATAATACCCAGAAATTCATACACAGATGCGATCAAGGACACATGGCACAGAGGATAAAGGCGTTAGTTAGATCCAGTGACAGGACCCAAAGAGTGTGAGTTAAGGAAGAAGGCCGGAGCGTACAACGGTCGAGACGTTATAATAAATATGGCGACAAAGATGAGGACAATAGTCCGAATAATGTGCATAATACCTCATCTCAGAAATATAGACGTATATATATATATATATATATATATATATATATATATATAGCCAACAACGAAATTATTGATACACCTATCAATTTGGAATATATTTATCCATTTCTCAGAATCTAATGCCTGTATGATGCCATTTTTTTTTATATGTTAAGAAGCACGAGAAAAAAAGGAATATAAAATTCAAATTTCGGAGCAATAGGTTAAATTTAATAAATTTGACAAACGTATTATGCAACATAGGAAACGATAAAATTATTTGGACAGTAGGAAAAAAAAATTGAACAATTTTGACAATATTAATAGTCAATAACATGGCGTCGTATCATTATAACTTGCTGCAATCGTTTTCTAAAGGTTTTGATCATTTCAACAAGTCTTTTCTGAGATTTTCTTCCATTCTTCTATGGTCACACGTGCTAATTCCTGTAGTTTTTTCGTGACCGACTATTCGAACTTTCAATTCTTGCCATAGATTTTCAATAGGATTCAAGTCAGGACTCACTGAAGGCCATGGCCGAACTGTAATCTTGTTTTTCTGAAGCCACACAGTCACTGATTTAGACGTATGTTTGGAATCACTGACGTAGATGAAGATTTTGTGCTGATAGTTGTAGATTTTCATGCAGAATTTTGATATTGTTTGCAGATTTCATTATTCCTCTTATTGAAATTAATTATCCAGTCCCCCTTGAAGTAAAACAACCCAAAAGCATCATCGAGCTACCTCCATATGTTAATATTGCCACTATTATTTGGGAGGAAAGCCTCACCTTTCATGCGCCAAATATTCTGTACATCATTATGTCTAAAAAGCTCAATTTTGTGTTTCATCACTATATAGTACACTAGCAGTAGTGCCCGGGGATGTAACAGTAAGAGATAGATCAAGTATCGACCATAATAAAGACTGAAAAATAAAATTGACAAAGATTATTGTTTAAGGTTGGCGGACACGCATGTCTTAATTAGATTTTTTTTTTTTTTTTACGAATTGGTCAAACCCAAACTCAAACAAAAACATTGTTTTCAATCGTTATTAGTCTATCGATTGATTAGAATTTTATTATAAACAATTGTCATGTAAATGGAATTTTTAAAGCATTCTGAATGTAAAAATAAAGAAAAAACTGTGCAAGACAATAAGAAACACTACTTGCCAAAAAAAAGTGAAGTTTTGTTGAAATCGGTTGAAAAATGTAGGAAATCCGATCCCATATATAAACGAACACACACACACACACACACACACACACACACACACACAACCTGGGTTTTATAAGTATAACTCGATATGAGTTGTCTCCCTTTCATTCTGGCGACTTAATCGTGTTTTGAAATTGATTTCGTGCAAAAACAATTGTGTTTTTCCAATTTTTGGCGCTGTCCGAACCACCGCAAGGTAATTTTACGCAGTCCTGTGAAGTTTTGTTGAAATCAGTTGAAAAATGTAGGAAATCCGATCCAATATATAAACGTACAGACAGACACACACACACACACACACTATCTGCGTTTTATAATAAATAAGATCTTCCCTAAAGCAATTTTCTTTCTCTAAGAACGTTTTGGCAAAATTAAACCGAGCAACAATATGACATGATTTGTGAATAGGGTTCTTCGTGATCGGTTTCCATACAACCCACTTCTATTTAACCAACATTGTATTTTGCGAGTACTTACGCTGATACCCGTTGTATCCGAACTTTTGGCGATGTCTTTGAAAACAACTCTTGACACAGTTTTCGTGCAGTGGTCGGTGACGATTTGGGTTTTCTTCCATGCCCAGGCAAATTCTGTCGTGCTTAACTGTTTAAACTTCTTTATAACGGACTGTACCGTAGATCTAAGGATAGCTAACCGGTTTGAAATAGTGCTACAACTATATCCCGACTTGTGGAAGTTAATAATTCTCTGTCTCAAGTCAACGCTAAGTTCCTTTGTTTTCCCTATCGTGTTCCTAACATAAGACTAATAATGGTGACATTCTATGCACCACGTGATGTTCTTTGATGGAATTATCACAAATATTCTACTGAATAAAAGGTCTAGAGCCGATAAAATAATTATGCAAATTATTTATACTTACATGAATCAATCAATTTAAAACGATATTTTCTACTGTACGAATAATTTTGTCTTTTCCTATTTCGCACAATTCGCCTGTCAAATTTGTTGTATTTAACCAAATTTGTTCTGAAAATTGAGATTTATATTCCTTTTCTTGTGCTTATTAAGCATTAGGTTCTGAGAAATGGATAAAAATATTTAAATTGATGGGTGTACGAATAATTTTGTTGTTGGTTATATATATATATATATATATATATATATATATATATATATATATATATATATTTTTTTTATATGTTTATACATTCTTTTTATAACTCCATTTTCAGAGCAATAGGCTATTTAAAAAACAATGTCTAAAAATAATAGTCAGAGTTTGTCCTTTTCATAATATATATATATATATATATATATATATATATATATGTGTGTGTGTGTGTGTGTGTATATGTATATGTGTGTGTATTATATATATATGTATATATATGTGTGTGTTATATATTCTTTTATAACTCCATTTTCAGAGCAATAGGATATTAAAAAATGTCTTAAAATAATAGTCGGAGTTTGTCCTTTTCATAATATATATATATATATATATATATATATATATATATATATATATATGTGTGTGTGTGTGTGTGTGTGTGTGTGTATATGTGTATATGTGTGTGTATTATATATATGTATTATATATATGTGTGTGTTATATATATATGTATTATATATATATATGCATCACACACACACACACACACACACACACACATATATATATATATATATAGTTTAAAGAATTAGGAGATCAACCGATTCCGCTTCTTTGGCTTCAGCCTTTGCAGTATCTTCAAGAAAGCCAAACCTTACAACAATCATAGTAATATCTAAATCCTTTGTCAACAAGAAAATTTAACAATAAAAACACTAATAATAAATATCAATATTAATATTGTTATTTATATATATATAATAATATCAATATATTATTTATTAATAATAAATATATTCGTAAATAATATTAATATATTATTAATATAATATACATTTACAAGCGTCAGGAAATCAACTGTCTGAAATTGCCTGGAGATACCGAAAGGTTGAGACCAATGTAGAGGAATCATTTGATCTCCTAATGTTTTAAACTTAAAATCTCTACATATTAAATTTTTTTATACGTTTAACATGCTAAGAATTAATCAGTAAAGTTAATGTAATTAATGGTGAAATCCCTTCGCTAACAGATTTCATAAAGCATTAACTTCCTAACCATTCCTTGAATGATTAAACAAGCAGTGGTTAGTAAGTTAATGTTTTATTAAATCTGTTAGCGAAGTGATTTCGCCATTAATTACAATAACTTTACTGAATAATTCTTTGTTTGATTACTTACGCACACAATAACTTTATTATTTTAAAGAATATTAAATGATACGGAGATAATAGTGAGAAAAGGTTGACTTTTTTGATTTCATATTAAAAGTTGAAGAGAACGATTCCCAAAGAACAGGGTGTCGGGGACGATCCAGCATGGGCTTACCTTGTTGTACATCTGATAGTACCACATGGAGGGTGCTTCTAGAGCAGCTGCGGTATCTTCACCCTCTGATCACTCGGTATGGAAAAACTTTTGCCGATAGTTTATTGTACAAATAAACTGACAACTTAAAAAAAAGAAGGATTTGCGGACAAATGAACTTTTGCCCTTATTTTAGCGCGAAAACACGCATAGATCTATTTTTAGAATTAAATGTCTGAATTCCTCTTCGAGGAGAAATTCCAAAAATTGCACCCGACGACCCCGCGGGGGACGCAGTGCGGAAATTTACTCTTGCATTGGTGTCAGCAGTCTTGCCCTCAGTTGTACTTCCTTGAGCAAGCTCCCAACCCGAGACAAGGACGGTTAAATGGCAACGGCCATACGCCACGTTCATGTCTCTCTCAAACGAGATCAATACGGACGGTCTCATCTAAATAGGCCAGACCCCCAAGCGCAGTCAAATGCAACTAAAGAAGAATTCCATTTCCACGGCGCCGTGACGAATAGAAAAACAAAGCCGCTTGGCCGGAGAAACGACTTCTGAAGACCCGACGAATTTTTCTTTTTAAAGTTTTATTTATAATGGTAACTACAGCAGAATTCAAGAGAGACACGCATTATCTCCCTTGTTCCAGACGTCACTTCCGGTTCTCACGGTTACGTCGTCGTTTTATTACGTCCCTTGATTTATGAATGAATACTAATCAATTATATAGCTTAATGGTTTTCAAAAACTCAACAAATAGAATTGATTACAAATTTTTTACAAAAGAAAAATAGTGTTGGCAATAATAAAAATAAGTCTATATTTTATAGTTATATAATAATATTATTTTTATATACATACATGCACACACACACACACACACACACACACACACACACATATATATATATATATATATATATATGGAAACGTGTCCGTCTGACCGGAGAAACGACTTCTGAAACCCCAGAGAGTTTTTTTTGCGTATTCGTACACATCTATATGGATATGCAGTTATTATAAAGCTAGTCATACGATTAATTATTCAATTTTAATTAATTTGATTGTTTAATTACCTTTGAAACTTTCTTTTTATTTGCAATTAATTCAGGTGCGGATTGATTTGTTAGTTAATGATCAATGAATGAAATTATGATTTCGGACACCGCCCATTTTCGTTGTCTATATATATATATATATATATATATATATATATATATATATATATATATATATATATAGAGAGAGAGAGAGAGAGAGAGAGAGAGAGTCACAATTAAGCAAACGATTTTGATGATTTCTATATCTATCTATCTATCTAACATGATGAATAGACAGTCTACCCTTCTCTCTGTCTTTAAATTAATGTTCTGTTCATTTCATTGATTTTTTACATTTTTCTCCAAAAACCAATCAATCAATCGATCGATTAATTAATAATTCCTCCAGCTTCTTTTCAGATAAATAGCACTTGCCTGCATTAAAAATGTTTTTCCAAAGGTCAAAGTTTTATTAAGTGATATATGATCGCCATTTTATGCTGAACTCAAAAATACCATTCATTGTCTTTGGTCAAGCCTGGTTTTTAATATGTGCTTGAATACTTCACAACAAGTTGTACACAATAATAACACCCATTTAAAAGCCTGTGGGCTCTATTTGTCACCTGCTGATCGTGGGTGCATGATGTTTAGTATAGCATATTATGTTGTATGTATACCTAACTACATTTTACCACCCTACTCGCTAACACCCTCATACCTAGAATGGGCGGAGCTTATCCCTCAGCTAATAATAATTTTAATTTACTGTGTCAAGTGTCAACGACGAGCTGAGAGCTGATTTATTTTTTTCTCTTTTCAGCTTGACATTTGTATTTCTGTAAAAATGGATCGGAAGTGTAAGAATAATCCTGACAGGTTCTGTTATATCTACGGTAATGTGGTTCTTCCTAGCCATTAAGCAAAAATCACTGAGTTTGTGGAGAAAGCATGTCTCCATTACTTTGGAGTGAAACAAGGGGATAAGGATAGGCCATTCGCTCCCCAGGTTTGCTGTTAAATATGTGTGGATAACTTGAGGGATTGGAGGAATAGTAAAAGGATGAGTATGCTATTTACCATTCCAATTGTCTTGAGGGAAGAAAAAGATTACATTACTGACTGCTATTTCTACATGATAAATCTAAAAGGAATAAATCGCAAGAAAAAGTACCATGTCCAATACCCCGATGTTCCTTCTGCCATAAGACCAATTCCTCATGGACCAGAATTTCCTGTTCCTAAGCCAGATGATAACATGGAATATTGCTCTCATTCCGAACATAGTGACATGACTGTTAGAGCTGGAGATTACGCATACAAGCCAGATGAGGACGACCAAGCAGTACCCAAGACATAGGCAGGACTCAACGACCTGACACGAGACCTGAACCTCTTAAAGGAGTCTGCTCAGCTGCTGGGTTCACGTCTCAAAGAGAAACATCTCTTGGTACCAGGAACAACGTTGTACTGGTATCGAGACCGTGAGAGAGAATTAAGACAGTTCTTCAGGTTCCAGGATAAGTCATAACTGGTTTATTGCAACAACATTGCTGGATTGATCAACGACCTGACACGAGACCTGGACCTCTCAAAATAGCGATATGCCTTCTTCACAAACTCAGTGAATTAGAGTATGATGCTATGGAATGGAGACTTTTTATTGACTCATCCAGCAGAAGTCTCAAAGCAGTTCTTCTACATAATAGGAATAGTTCTCCATCTACCCCTATTAGAATTTTCATTTGTTGCCTGCTCTTAACTACCAGGAGCAAAATGGTTGATCTGTGGAGATCTTAAGGTGGTTGCACTGGGCCCAGGGCTCCAAGGTGGGTACAAAAACTATCCTTGTTTTCTGGGCTAATTTGCGTTTTAAGCCCTGCGCTAAATATGTAATAAAAATTTCCCAAATAGTTTGGTAATGCTCTTCCCTAATGCAAATGTCTTGCTGAAAGCAAACGTCTTCGTGAAAGCATACAAGCCAGATGAGGACGACCAACCAGTACCCATGACATAAGCAGAACTCAACGACCTGACACAAGACCTGAACCTCTTAAAGAGTCTGCTCAGCTGCTGGGTTCTCGTCTCAAACAGAAACATCTGTTGGTACCAGGAACAACGTTATACTGGTATCGAGACCGTGAGAGAGAGAATTAAGACAGTTTTCCAGGTTCCAGGATAAGTCATAATTGGTTTATTGCAACAACATTGCTGGTTTGAGATGTGCTTGAATACTTCACAACAATGTGTACACAATAATAACACTTATTTAAAAGCCTGTGGACTCTACTTGTCACCTGCTGAACGTGGGTGCCTGATGTTGAGTATAGCATATTATGTTGTGCGTGTACCTAACTACAGTTTACCAGCCTACTCGTTACTACCATACCTAGAAGGGGCGGGTTTTATCCCTCTGCTAATAATGATTTTAATGTAGTTTTGTAGCGCTCTTCCATAATGCAAATGTCTTGGTGAAAGCGTTCACCAAGACATTTGCAAACTCAAATATTTAGAAAATAGTCCGTGACCGCAGAAAGTGCAGTTTGACTGATATTCGTGCCCCGAGTTGGCGAAAACTCTTCAGTAGCTCATCGATTTCCTTCTCGTATTCCGCAATCTGGTGGCTTCCCAGGAAGTTTGTAACTACTGAGTTCAATGACTGCTAGGCGGACAGTTCATCTTTGCTCTGTGCTTCGTCAAACATCGGGTCCATCATGAGTTCTCTTATTTGAGGGCCGTCAAATATATCAGCTTTGAGTTTCTCCATGCTTATCCGTGAGAATTTCTCCTGCAGGAAAGCAAACCAGCTGCCTTTCCTGTCCATTGCCTTTACAAACGTTCTTCATTATTCCTAACTTGATATGTAAGGATGGAAGCGGTATTTTGTTTCATTTCAACGAGAGTGTGAGACTGAACGTTATGCGAGCCAGATTTTAACACTTGTCTTAACGGCCATTTTTGTTTGACATGACGTCAGCCCGGCTTCCCAGAGACACAAAAAAACGGGTAATTTGCTTTTTAAGGCCCACGCTAAGTATCTAATAAAAATTTCCGAAATACTTATAGGTGTAAATGTACATATTTAATTCGGAAATAACAAAGATATTTTGAGAAAATCTACCAAAATTACACAAAAATATCTTGAAATACTAAACAGTTAATATTTTCAATAAAATCGCCATTGGCTTCAACCAAGGCCTACGGGCGACTTCAGAATCTTCTGCAACTCCTCTGGACTGTCTCCTTGTTTAAGTTGGTGAATGCTGCATAATCCTTGCCTTTATTTCATTGCTTTTACATGCAGTTTTTTGGTCTCTCGCTCAACTGCGCCCCACACAGAATAATCAAGGAGTTTGCAGTATAGGGAGTTACGTGGTTAGATGTAGTCGAAGAAATTGTCTGACAACTAAGACTGGGTTCTCCTGCTTGTTTGGTGTGGTTCAGAGTTCTGTTGCCAGACATAGGGTCTTCCAGCATCCATCCTCTTGATCTAAGGGGCAACATTACCTCAAGACACTTGATGTAGGCATCCGCATCGAGTCTAACGTCATGTGGAAAGATGAATGGAAGCATAACGTCGCCAACATTAGGGATCACTCGAAACAACTTGATATTGACTGGGTGTTTGGTTTTCATCACTCGCGGTACATCTTTGTGGGACACAAATTGACTCTGAAATGTTTGTATTGGAGCTTCCGGTGCGAAAGCCAAGCAGTATATCATGCCGTTTCCCAATTTCTGGCGGAGTGAATTGCGTCATGGTGCTCTTCTTTTCACAGACGGTGCCCAACTGACCCTACTATACTGCGAAATCAACAAAATAAAAAATAAACAACGCGCATGCGCGAAATTAAAAATATAACACATTGACAATTTATCCATGTAACCCTGTACTATATTTGCCGTATGATAAGGCGCATTTTTTTCCTGGAAAAAATGCCCTAAAAAATCACCGAGCCCTGAAAACTAAAAAAAAAAAAAAAAAAATGAATAATGAGTTTGTGTAATTGGATGACAGAACAGGTTTTATGAGAGATAAAAATATCAAAATTTATTAAGAGCTGCAAAAAAGAGAAATTGTGGAGAGCCATGATCGCCAACATCCTGAAGAGGCATGGTACATATAAAAAAAAGAACCACAACAACGAACTTGTGCTAATGGATATCAGAACAGAGGTTACGAGAGTTAAAAAAAAAAAAATGACACAATTTATTAAGATCTAAAAAAGACAGGAAATTGTGGAGAGCCATGATCACCAACGTCTTAAAGGGACACGGTACATACGCCTGACAAATAACTGCTATTTCTTGTTTAAAATATTTTTTTCAAAAATAAAGCTCAAGCAAATGGATTTTTTATTTCAAAATAATATCTGTTTTCTGAAATATATCAACTTTTTTATAACGAGTGG